TCAATTCCTCAGACTCACCCTTGGGAGACCAGGTAATTCCTTGAGGCTACCTCCAGATGACTGAGGGTAGGAAGCGAAACATGTCGGGTCTCTTCACTTTGCTCCCTGGCAGGTATGACCCTTAGGTTGTCCTGCCTTGTAGCCTTACCTCAGCCTTAAATTTCAGGAGTGGGAGTTATGAAATGAGAACCAGTGGAGGTTTAGACATTTCATCCATCTCCCATCTCTAGCCTGTGGCTTCTGAATTCACCTCTCCTGTCTTTGTCAACCCAGCTGGTTATCAACCGGATATGCAGCCATCTTGTGCTCCAAAAAAGAATGGTGGTCAAGGAAGCATTGAGTTAAAGCAAGGAGAAACATTTGGTTCTACAAATATTTTACTAAACCAAATTTTATGCCTAAGGTTCAGGTCATTTTTTAAGCCTACTTAAATCTTTTGGTTTTAAGATTTCAGTTGACTTTTTGCCTTCTCTCTATGTAATAGTTCTAGAAAGAGATCATTTAAATCAGAACAGTTTATTACTATTCACCAACTGAGAAAATATGGGCCCCAAAGCACAATTGTTTGGGCTGGTGCTTTATACCAATCTCAGAATGAAGAAGGTGAAACAAAACAGTTAACTGTGATAAACGTAACAGGACAGAGAACCGTGTTCCATTTCTCGCTGACTTGACTTTACGGTTATGACTTCTCACAATATCCAGCATACCTCTAGTTCCGAGTAAGAATGTAATTCAGTCAAGACTTGAGTTTTAGTTCCGTTTAGGTGATCTCCAACACTAGTAAACCCTTGAACAACATGGGCTTAAACAGCACACATCCACTTACACATTTTTTGGCTGTAGTACAGTATTGAAAATATACTTTCTCTTCCTTATGATTTTCTTACTAACATTTCCTTTTCTCTAGCTTACTTTATATACTGAATACAGTACATAATACACATAACATAGAAAATATCTGTTGACAATTTTTGTGACATTATATGCAGATTTTTTTACTTCATGATCGGGGGGGGGCGGGGATCAGCATCCCTAACACCCTGGCATTGTTCAAGGGTTAACGCCACTTCTTTCTCCCTGTGCTCTCACAACACTTGGGTACTAACAGCATTCACCAGCGGGGGCTGGAATTCACCAGAATTCCTTCACCTGTGACTGTGACCTCTTGAGGACAGAATTGCTTGTGTTTCTAGCACCTTAAAACCTGGCTCATCCCAAGTTCTCAGTAAGTTATTTGTTGAATAACCAAATTATTGTTTTTGACAGCATATTTTTGACATGTTCAGAGATGCTACTGTAACACAGAAAAATCTCTGATGCACACAACAAACCATAAGCAGTGAGTGTACACGAAACAGGCTTTGATGGATCTCCCTGATAGGCAGTCAGGTATAGATCAAGTAAAATTAAAAGCCAGTCTCCTAAGAGCTAGGCCCATGAGCAACAACTTTCCTAACCGGCTTAAGACCAACTAAAACCGATTCCACTTCTTCCATCCATGGATCCTTCGGCATCAAACTGTCATGCAGTGCTTCTGCTGGCTCATTTTTTGTTTGCTTTGAGATGTAACTTTTGAGAGTTACTCTCCCAAAATTTTGACTTTAACAATTTTATGTCAGTTCTTTAAATTCCCTTGAGATAACAAGTTTTCCAGATGAAACACTGCAAGTTTCTTAATGAATAGCAGTCTCAACCAGGTTTTTGGACTAGGGATCTGATTATACATCCCTAAAATGCAGTTTTTCTTTTATAGCCTCTCAAGGCAAGAAGGGTAATTTCAACTCAATGTCTAAACCTACCTCCCTACATCCTTTCAACCTGTTCTCCTCTTTTAAGTCCTTCTAAAACTATTTTGAGTAACAGTGGCTGAAAGATCCTGGGTAGGTGGGATTAATAATTACGCTTTTTCTCTCCCTGGCTGCGCTATGTATTACGTGTTTCTTTCAGTTTCCAATCAGGGCACTTTGGCAAATATTCAAATGAATGGAATAAGCCTAGAGTCTAATTGTCTTTACGTGCCAGTTAAACAGTTTTTATATGCGTTACAGATATGTTAAGAAATAATGCTTATAATGAATTGTTTTTCTAAGACTTGTATAAACATTCCTTCCTTTAAGGATGTGGTTATTAAGGAGTGGGGTGTAGGGTATATAATGAGGCTCACTCAGGGGGATTTTTCAAGCTATACATTCCCCTGCCACAAATATTCTGATTCTGTTCCTTCTTGTTCTCTCCCTGGAATCAATGCTATAGTGACCCATGAACTGTTGTGTGTCATACCTTTTTTTTTTTTTTTAAGTGAGCTGTATACACAATGTGGGGGCTTGAACTCACGACCTTTAGATCAAGAGTCTCATGCTCCACCCACGGAGCCAGCCAGGCGCCCCAATGTGTACCATACCCTGCTGTGTATGATGAATTACTGTTTTAGGCTTATCAGTGAATAAAATGTTTTCAATTAGAATTCTATAAAAATATAAGACACTTTGCTTAAATTACATTATTTATTTTTGGATTATCCCTCTTAGTCCTGCATGCATCATTAGCACAAAAAGTTGAACTTAATCACAACCTCCTTTTGAAGAAATAGTAGGTACACAATCACCATCTGAAGAGTTTTTCTTCACAGACGGCCCAAGAACTCCGGCCCTGGTAATACTGTCAGTAACCTACACAATGTTCAATAGAAAAATTTACCAAATATCCTTTGTTTAATGTAAACAAGGCAGGAGGCCAGAGTATTATAGTAACACTATTTTACAGGGCCCAGAAATATGATTATCTATCATGTTTTAACATATCAAGTGTCACAATGACATGCATATTTTGATTAATTATACAACCCAAAATATAAATGCCATATAATTTGTGGTTTTAGCACTTGACTGCAACTTCTGTCAATACCTGTGAACTTCATAATTAAATGGGAATTGTATATTAATGTGATAATTTATGGAAATATGTCACCATGAATTATGAAGTAATTCTATAATTTGTGCCCCGTAAAATTAAGTGTAACAATCTTTACACTAGCAACAGTGTAAGCAAGCTAAGGATTTTGGTCCTTTTGTGTGTGTGTGTGTGTGTGTGTATATATACACACACACACACACACACACACACACATATATACACATGTACACACACATAATAATGTACAATTAAACCAAAGGGCTATGAATCCTCTCATAGCTTCCATATTGCACAGATAGATACATTATGAGAACATTACATAGTTAGAATGTGAGTACTACAATGATAATTGGCTGAGGACAAATCTGAGTTCTAGCAAGTGAAGAATGTGGCTCATTACTAAAAATAAAGTCAAAGACTATACTGTTAGAAAGTTAAAAACAATGTGCATACCTATTTATACTGATGTGAAGCAGGGCTAACATTCAGCTTGGAACTTGCTACGGCAATCGGTTGTTAAGGTGCTACTTTCCACCCAACACAGTGTCTTTTGAGTCACTGTTTTGCAAGTACTGAGTAACAGAAATATTCAGCTTTCACAAGACAGTACGACATAGACTAGTAGCACATTGTTTCACTGACAAATCCAACTCACTGTGAGAACTTGTGCTGGCTCTAGGTCTGTTTCTGAACTAAACAGGAAGAAGAAAGAAAGAGAAGCTCAGAAGAGAAACAACTTAGACCTTAAGCTTTAGCTGACTACAGATCAAAATCATTACAATAACTTAGGAAAATTAAGAAGCAGCATACACACACACAAATATAAAAGTTAAAGCTTTTCTGAGCTTGGTGACATGTATTAGCTGTAAGGTCCCATTGCGAAATCAAGGATAAAATAGTATTTGGCTTGAGAGGTAATTGCTAATACACCCATTGAGCACTGCGCAAACATTAAGAAGTATCTACTATCTCTTAATGCCTTATTTTAAATAAACCTACATCAAAGTAGACTACAGCCATGTCTAAAAATGGAAATGTTGCAGTGTTTCTTGCGTGGGCTGGTCAATAAATACAGAGCACTGAACAATGCTTTCCCATCATTAAAAATCATGTGAAGAAAATCACGCACAAAGTAACCATCTCCCACTTTTTTTTTCCTTGTTGCGCTTAATAAATGTGCTTAGACTGAGCTAACAAAGATTTGCATTAAACTAGAAAGGTAGTCTTAACATTGATAAGCATTCTAGAGCCAAGAATATTCATAATCTTTTGCTATTTCGTTCTTAATAAATAGCCAAAACTAACTATAAATCAGAAAAATACAACAAAATTAGCAGAAGGTGTAAAACGCACTTCTATGCACATGCCACATGATGTACATACGTAAACACGCTACATAAAACAACTTCTTACAAGGAGCAGCGACGCCTCCTTCCAAGCTGGAAATTTTGATAGTCCGCTCCCCGCAAATTTCAGCAAAGGGAGAGAGAAAGCACAAAGCGCTGCTGCTTAACATTTCAACGGGAAGAGGAGGAGGAGGAGGAGAGGAAGAAGAAAGCTTAAAAGCAACATCTGAGTGACAAGCGTCACTCAAAGGAGGAGTAGAAAGTGGATCAGCAAACAGCATTCTGTAAATCTAGGAGAAGCACGCCGTGCACAGCGCAGCTCTGCTGAACTACCACACAGTCCTTCATATAGACCCAATTGACCCAAATTCCTTAACACGTAAACAGGACAGACTGGTTTTCCTTTTAAATCTCTTAGAATCATTTAAAACAAAAGACTGAACAAAATGGAAAAAAAACAAAAACAAAAAAACAAACAACTGTAAACACTGAGGAGGCCCACAGGCATTTTGATTGCTGCCAAAGGGTTATCCGTTCCCGCCTAGACACTACCATGCATTTCAGTAAGAAATCAAATTATAAAGCAATTTTTATAAAGCAACTTTCAGAGAGGGACAGAAGAAAAAAAAAAGGTTCTCAACCCAATATATGTTCATTAGCTTAAAAAAATACTATTTCAGCAAACATTACCAATGGTGAGCACAAATTCAACATTGTTGCAAAAATGACAGTTTAAATATACTGGGACCCATACGTGAAAATCAATCACTAACATGGCTATGTGCACCAAGAGTAAAAGAACGTTTTTTTAAAAAATATATATTAATCAAGAACTTCTTTATCATATTAAATTGTTATTCTTAGAAAAGCTGAAGAAAGTTAACGGTGCTCTACACATTTTTATCTCCTATTAACTCATTTGATGGTTTCTGAATTGTATTTTTCCTCATTTACAGTTTTTTTCCATATTTTGTTTGATAAGAATTCTGACCTTAAAAAGTTATAAAATTAGTTTGTTTTTTTTCTTTGCTACTTATTAATCCAAAAGAATATAAGCATTTGAGTCCCAGAGAATGTCAAAATGCCTTGCTACCTAAAAGGATATTAAAATAACAGAAATATCATCAAAGTCATGACATCAGAAATTTTGCAGCTTTTCACACAGGCATTAGAAATGCTTCTTTCCTGAAGTTCCTTTGATTGTATCCTGGATTCAAGGACGTGCAATCTTACATATAGAACCATTACGGTAAAGCCAATGAAAACAACATCATACAACATTTTACTGAGAATGTCCGCTCAATGGGTTCTTAATGGTTCTGTCCAGTTTACAGCAGTACTTCATTTAAAAAGGCTTTTTATCCTCTCGGCTGGGTGAAGCTGAGTCTTTTTTGATGAAATGTACACTACAGTTCTGCTCCCTTAGTTCCTTGGAGGATGCTATTACGGTGTGGAGGAAGCGTGGTATTTCACAAATGCAATTGCCGCCAGTTCCTTACAGAACTCTTCCAACACAATCACACCCTCTAGCAAAGTGATGTGGTCAATGCTGGTAAAAGGAAAGCAAGCAGTAAGTCAATTAAGGATACTACCATTTCATCAAGTTTTGGTGACTTGTTTAGATCAAAAACATGTAAAACACTGGCTTACATAGGGCCTTCAGGTTCCAAGCCAAGCAATCGCTTTCTGACTAACAGAAGCTTGGGAGTAAAGTCCGGAATACGCTGGATTCGCACCATCAGGTCTCCGACAACCTGCATCAGAGACAAAAGGAACTGCGTTCCTGAAACCAACTACACAGGGATTTCCAGGATTAAAAAAAGACACTCAACTTCCTATTACTAAATGAAGAATGTCACCCTTCACTATTCACATAACGATTTTGGCAAAGGACTCACACCTGTTCCTTAAAATATAAATGTTACCATTTAAAAGAATGGATTTTTCTCTTTTTCTCCACATGCTAGAGTAAAATAATGACTCTTGACAGTACACAAGTAGTATTTCCCATTATGTGACACTAAGCACATACAATGGTAAGGAACGTTAATGGACATGTGTATCACAGGTTTCATCAATCCGAGAGAACATAAACAGAACTAAGAACTCACCCTGACGATGACAGAGAAGAGGGATCTACAGCCAGAAGCAAGATTTACATAAGGATCCAAAAGGTACTCGTGTACGTGTGGATGAGGGAAGAGGGAAAGTCTAGATAACACGGAGGTGACTTGTAAATTTACATCATATGGCTATGAAGAGGTAAAAAACAAAAAGACATTTGACATTATTTATAATGTATATACCTGAGCACTTCATTTACCATTTCAATGTGTCTTTTCAGGAAAGGAAAATATTCCATCTTATTCCTCCCTCCACACGCTCTTCTACAACGAAAACATTGATAACTAACTTGGCTCTCACCATCTTAGTCAAAGTACATACATCACAGTGCTAAAACTCAGGAGGAAAAAAAAGCGTGCATATAGATATGTGAAAAATACAAATATGTAACATAGTCATAATGCTTCTGTTTTACGCACTTTGTTCTAAGTAATGAGTGTTCAAGAGGTCATCAAAACTCACTGAAGTGTCATATGTAACATTAATAACAGCAACATAGGACACACTGAATAGAAGACCAAAGATAGAAAGGGAACTATTAAGATCTTTCAAAATACGGTAGTCTAATTTTAGAAATGATATTTTTCATCTTTTAGATTATTCAACTACTGCCAATTATCAAGAGCATGTATACAATAAAATAAAGTCAGATACACCAGAGAGCCTTCTCAGCAGAAGGAGAGTACCTGGGGATAGAAATGACCACCACATGCCTCACAGTGAATGAAGAGGTTCAAAATGGTGATTACAGACAAGCATCATTTCATTTACACAAGAGCATTAATTCTCCCAAAACACTTATACATCTGGGTACAATTCCTCACACATTTTTTTGTATGTTGTATCACATTTTACTTGAATTCCAGTTTTTTTATTTTTAATCTGTTTACTCCACATAGAAAACAGCTTGGAGGGGTGCCTGGGTGGCTCAGCCAGTTAAGCGGCTGCCTTCGGCTCAGGTCGTGGTCCCGGGGTCCTGGGATGGAGCCCCGCGTCGGGCTCCCTGCTCCGTGGGAAGTCTGCTTGCCCCTCTACCCTGCTCATGCTCTCTCTCTTGCTTTACCTCAAATAAATGAAGAAAATCTTTAAAAAAATAAAAATAAAAATAAACCCTTGATACAATAACACCAATTAAGAAGTGAACATTGGCATTTGGAAGACAACAAATGCTAGGGCATGTGCCAAAAGAGAGCACAAGTCCTGTGACATGGAGAAACCACAAGTCCTGTGTTAGAAGTCCAACTGTAGCGGGTTGGTTTTTTTTTTTTACCACGAGATTTGTGAACATGGATTTTCTGAACGAAGAAAAACGATCCCTAAGTCACTCTTATTCACAATCAAGCCTCAAGCAAGACAAATGAAAGGAGATACTATTCCTACGGAAGGGTAATTTGAAGAGCATATTCTCCAGCTTGACAATATATGCAACAGAATATAGCCTCCAGGACTCACTTCATAACAAACAATGAATTCACATGAAGTTGTATTTTAGGCACAGAGGAAACATTTTTAAAAATCTTTAAGAAGAATGCATTTGGTAAAGCATGTGAACAAAATCACTTAAAATACAACTTTAGTACAGTTTTGTATGTGACTTGATTTCTGGTAGTTCAGATTTTTAGGTTACTAAATTCTGCCATTTATAGGAGCTTCAGTAAGTCAAGAGAATTTGGCTTTCAGCAGGGATATAAGTTGCCCCCTAAACTTTTTATTTTCCTTATAGGGTGTTACTTTGGTTTTTAGCTTTATGTGAACAAGAATCTATGTTCTTGGTTGTTTAAGAAGTTTAAGGCTGACTCGGATTATATTTTAATGTGAAAATGAAAACAAATCTCAGCTACACAGAAATTGTTCTCCCTCTGAAATGGTCTCTACTTCATAATGGTAATAACTTTAAAACAAGTTGGCCTTTTTTCTTTAATATGAATAACCCTTTCTTGGGTTAACAGTAAGTGCTTATATCTATTATTTTGGATTTATTTTCTACTTTTACATACAGTATTCACCTGAAACAAAAGCTAACCAGATTTTTCTGACATATCAAATGGACTTGGCCCATCTTTGAGCTCACACTAAATATAAGGCCTGAATTTTAGGACAATAAATTTTGACTTAAAAGCATACTAATGACAAAGAAAAAACAAAAAACCCAAAACAAAACAAAAAAAAAACATACATACTGTGTCACCAGAAAACTCAGTCTCAACCCTTCTCCTAAAAGGCTAAATTTACAGGTAGCCAAAATAATATGATTTAGTGATATTAAGTCAAAATTATAGTATGATAGCCTCTGAAATTTCTAAAAACTCCTGTACTTAACAAGATTTTGTATTTTTTAAAGTATTTTAAATTGTTTTCTTCATTTTAATTCTTACAAGCAAATCTAAGTAGGAGGTTACGGCAAGTAACATCAGTTTCACCTTTAACAAGAAGAAAATGTGACAAGGGGCACAGTTGCCCAAGATCACACTCTTCCCTGTTGGGGCAGAGAGAAGCTGGACCTACCTCCCTACGTTTTTCATGGTGTTCTTTACATTCTGCCTATGGACCTCAGCATTTTACTATCTTCATAAAATCATCACAAATAATACTAAATGTTTTTGAAAAATTAACATTGTGACAACATGACAGTATTATGAATAATTTCTCATTTATAATAATGTATATAATATATAATACATATAATTATATATTATATATAATAATTTCATAATTTCTCAATTATACATGCAGGAAACTAGCTACTTCACTAAATTATATGTAGTAAATGTTTAATCCCAGGCTGGTTACCCTGACGCTATTTCTATACTAAGAAAATACAGGCAAACATCATCCTCAACAAAACACATTTAGAAAAGAGAGAAAATGAAACTAAACCAAGCACGCTTAGCACACCAGGACTCATGACTGTCTTTGAGATCTGACTACATGATGTTCTTACCAAAAAAGGCTTGGAAAATCAAGGGTTTTAAGACCAAAGGTTTGAGGCTGGGGCCTGTAGTGAACTAGCTGTACGTCGCATTAACTGCAACTAGGGATCCTCCCTGACAAAGTATGACCAGAAGTCAGTCTTGCCCAGCACTGAGTGTTACAGAAGAATGGGGGAGACAGCGTGCATGAATCAGCTCTGCCCTGTGACGTGCTAGCTGCTGAAATAAAAAGAACTTTAAAGCATTTCAGGATATTCTGCCTCCAAGTATCCTTTTATGTCAGCACTCCACAAACTAAAGTGAAAAATACCCGAGATCCAAATGAAGCTTAGCAAACCAGCACAAAGAACAAAATGAACTGATGAACCCCACTACCCAGGGGGTTTCCACAGCCGAGAGGTATATGACGTGTATACGGCCTAATGCCTACAAGAGCTGGATTTACCAACCAACCAACCAAACACGCGAAATACAGCACTTGCTATTAAGAGGTTAAAAGAAAAAAGGACTTACTCTATCTCTTTACTGATTACTATCAGAAACAGTACTGACTGAAGTCTAACCCCGTGAAATACTTCTTAAATTATAATTTCTTTATTTGGCTTTCTGGGAATTGAAGACAGCCTGCTTAGGGAGTAAATTTCTTTTACAACTCCCTATGCTCACATAAATATTTAACTAAAATGCTAAAAAAGAACAAGTACTTTAATACACAATTTTAAATTAATTCTGAATTGGTTAAGTCAAATTTCTACGTTGAGGCAAGTATTACGCCAGGTGGTTGTATTTCAAGCGTATATCCCAGGGTGTAAAGCATTTCAAAGCTCTAGCCTCACTTTGTTCATGTGTCAAGGAGAGAGGGAGGGCGGGAGGGGTTCTGTAATCCCAAATTCATTTCTCCTGACAGCCAGACATACACATACAGCAACATACCAGCTGATGGTGCTTTTTGTCTACCTTGGAATAAGTAAATTTACCTTTTTCATTTCATCTCCCCCTTATGAAAATGAGTATCTTTCATAAGTTCTTTATCTGAAGAAGCAGATTCATCTAATATCGTTCTGTCATTTTAATGAGACCGGAGTGCTCAGGATTCAATTTGAAATGACATTTAAGGTCGTCTGAATTGAATTTTACAAGGTTGACTCCATTTGTATCTGTACGAACTCTACTAATAAAAGAAAAGGCTTTCTACGTCATGCAAGGAAAGCATTCTAATCACCTCCAAAATGTGTGAAGGTTATTAAGAGAATGGTCTATAATGAGAAGTAAAATATATGATTATGTAACAGCCATCAGGCAGAATAAAGGTTTCGAATATAACGAACGCATCAGAAACGCACCACTTGCTGGCAATCAAGCTTTACGAAAAAGTCATCTAGTGGAAAAACTAAGAAAACAAAACTACTTTATTAAAGATCTAAACTAAAACTAGACATTCACCCATTAACAAAATAATGTGAAAATTAGTATTTTAAAGCTTATTACCTGATCGAGAATTCTTCCCATTCTGTCAAATAAAACTTTCAAAAAATGACCTTCAAAGAAAGTAGCTTCTAAATTGCACTTTTCCAATGCTTTTGGAGATCCAGGCCACTCCCATCTTAAGCAGATAGCACAGTAGTCCCGGAACTAGGGAAAAGCATTTGCATCATTAAAGAACAAACCAGAACAAATCGAGATCAAACAGAAATAATTTCCTCAAACAGGCATATAAGAACGCACATTGAGTGCCGACTGTCTGTTCCATGGGAGGCGCCCGTGGGAGAGGAAGGGACTCGGGGAACAGGCTAAGAAGAGGCACAGGTAAGCTTAGGATCACCAGTGCCAACGTATGTTGATGAAAACATAGGCATGTGTTTTCCTTTAGAGGAATTTAACTCTACTTACTTTTATCACAGATTCAGAGAAAATTTAAAAGGCAAAGTAAGCCCTAGCCACATTATCAAATCTATCTGAAAATGTTACATGCAAATAGATGAACAGATGCATGTTGTCGGGCTGACTGCATTTAACTGAGCAAACTTTATGTCTGCTGAATCTAATAAAATAATCAGGGGTGGTATTTTTTTTTCATCTTTCTAGTAATTCATTTTTATTATATTTTACCCAAGTGTAATCTGTCTGTGACAGACTGTAAATAATAAGAAACTGGTCCTTCACTACACAGTTTACCACTGGGATAAACAACATGGGTTTTGATAAGCACAAGACCTCAGGTAATAAAAATAAATTTGAAACGTCTTCCCCAACACATAATTTACCTGAGTTTAAACAAAAGAAATTTGGAACAAAGTTTTCTTCCCCATTCTTTCCCTTTTCAGATTCCCCTTATTCAATAAGGCGACATTACTCTGACCTCCCTAGTTTGGAAATTACCTGAAATTAAATCATATTCTCACCATGAAGCACTAACTTCAACTTTTGAAAGAAAAACATTTTTTAAAACAATCAGAAAGCCAGCTTCTTCAGTATTTTGTGAGTTTCAACCAATTTGGCTTTCAGTAGACAGTTTTCTATCCTAAACCACACCCCAATATTTAATAAAGCATTTTCCCATTAACATGTCTGAAATTCTTACCTAGAAATTAAACATTTTTTATCCTTTTCTGTCTTCTAATATTTCTGCAACAATCCATAATAACTGCATTTGTAGAAAATGGAAATGGAACTTTACAGAAAGAATAAATGCAGTTTAAAAATCCAGTTGATACTCCTGAGATCGGTACCACTTGTCTTGCCTTCACCCTCTCGTCCCTGAAGGCGCTAGCTACACAATTACTCTAGTTACTCCTGCAGTCATCTGGACTTGCACATTCATGCTACAGGCACATGCAAATTAATTATACAGAACTGTACACTTCAACCTCAAGGATTTAAATGAAAATTAAATGTGCATTTTTCTGACTTGAGACATTTTAAAATTAGGACTTTTGCAAAATGCTAGGGAGAGGAAAGAAGACCTTGAGAAGGTGACTACTTCAGAGCAGACCTTTCAGAGGGTCCTATCAGGGAGGCAGCAAGCTGCGGGGGGCAGGCAGTAGGGAGCGCAAGGAGGGAGGAAGCGAGGCACCCATACGTAACTGCCCAGGTGAGAAAAGGGGTGGAGAAGGGGACAGGGCACTGCCTGTAGACGAGGAGTAAGGGGGGGGGGGGTAGAATCGTTTAGAAGTTATGTTTTGGATCAGCAGGGAAAAGGATGGGGGGTAGACAGAATTTAAAGTATAGAAAGAAAGGGAAGGAGGAGACAGAGAGGGACGGAGGGAGACAAGGGAAGGGGAGAGGTGGGGAGGGAGACATAGCAGAAGGAGGAAAAGGAAGGGGAGCAAGCATAAAGAAATCTTGAGACAGACAGTCAGCAAAAGGCCAAGTAAGGTCACCTGCCTGAAGTTAAAGTAACAAGAGGGAGTTCGGGTCTCGTTGAGGGAAACTTTTGGAGAAATGACTGCGGGCAATGGGACAAAGTGTGTGTGTGCACTCATTAGATTTCACTTCCAAAAATTAATGACTTCACTTACCTGCCTGTGAGCATCTCGGAGGTAGGTGTCATATCCAGTGCCCTCGACATGGTAGGACGATTTTGCTTCATCGGGTACCAGACAGAGAAAACTTAAATGAGAAAGCCATAGTCAATAACAGAAATACTCCCACAATTCAGTATCTTTATACCTTAAACTATCAAATGATATCTTCAGTTTAGCCAAGTGTTGATGCAAATGGAAACTTGAAAAACAAAATGATACATTCTTAAGTACTTCATCTTGAATCAGTTTTACTGACTGATTACTCTTTCATATCTCAAAGGTTTTATTTAATAATCACTCTTTCCACTTAAAGTAGAAGTAAGCCTAAAACGATCTTTTACATTCCAGCACAATGACAGACTGCCATGATATCTGTTAATGTCAGGAAACTGGCTTTTAAGTAATTGAAGATTCTTATGCACCCTAATTTTGCATCTTGAGCCACACGCAATTTCTCTAAAGTCACCTGCCAGAACCAGGCACATCAGTGACAGCGCTGCGAAGGAAGAAACAGAACATCAAGGAAGAAAGAGAATATCGCCAGAGAAAGGGCACTTAAAAAAAAGAAAAAGAAAAGGAAAAAGTAAAACCACAAGTATCAAAAGGGAATGGCCCCACGCTCAGCATACGTACATGACTAAGAAGTGCAATTTGTCAAACTGGACATTCTCCGTGTTGTTCCAACTGAGAATGACTTAAAATTATTTATGTTAAAAAAAGCAGGGCCATCTGAAGGTTCATCTAACCACTATTACCTATTTTTGTTTCTATGTTAAGTAGAGCTTTCCCCCTTTGCTATCGATTGTTGCCCCGAGGCTGTCACTTGCTATATAAACATGACAAAAAGCTGATATAATCTTTAGATTAAAGAAGGGAAGATTGAATTTACAATATATCTTTGTAACAATCTAAGAACAGAGCTGTTATGGGTTATAAAAACAAGCAAAAGAGATGTAAGTCAAATTTATATGGCAACTCACCTATTTACAATTTTATGGACTTCAGTTTTCCCATCATTTTTGGGGTGGTCTGGAGTAGCAGGGGGTGAAGAGCTAAGCCACTCCTGATTTGACAGAGTGTTATCCGGCGAAATGTCAGTAAATAATGGGTCTTCTTCCAGATCTCTACGTTTAATTTAATGATGTATAAAAAAGACAACATTTTATTACATTTTTCTAAACCAATGAGATTCTCTGTCATGTTCTTGGAAAACATTACATGGTTTTGCTAATAAAAGAATTAAAGAATTACATTTTATAGGGAAATTAACATTTTATACAAACATCAAACTCCAGAATATATTGATTTTGTTCCATTTAAAGAATACCACTTGTGATTTAAAGGTATGGTGATATCATGGCATCTAAATTTTATTTTCAAAAATCCTGTAAACTGTTAGAGGCATTTTTTTTTTTTTTTTTTTACCAATAAGGGAGAGAAGTAGGAGGAGAGAGAAGATGACAGTTCTGTAGGAAATGCTAAGCTTGCAACGCTGGGTGAGGACTTACACGGCTCCTGCTATCAACCCATTCTCCACCACATCTTTATCTTCTGGACACACAGGCTTATACTCGGTATAATTTCTTTCTTCGAGATTTCTTAGGACCAAGTTGTAAAGAATGTGCTCGTTGGGTTTTTGTAAAAGATGTTCAAACATTCTTAACGTCATTATGCTTATCTGAAACCACAATGATAAAGGCTAACTGAGAAACATGTCTGAATAAATGATTCTTCTTGCCATCCTGTAAGTCATGCTTTTGATTTTAAAGCCACATCAAAAAGCTATATTCAAAACATCACAAGTACATTAAAATTATGCTTCAAAGTCCCATTCTAAATCTTACACAGCTTACCTCATCAGATATGTGATCACAATGCTCTATTAACCTATGTCTTAAAGGGTGTCTGCTAACGTCTGCCAGAGTTTCCGGTTCCCTCTGTTCTCCAAGGATAAAAAACACCATTTCTTGAAGCAAAACATCAGAGGTTACTTGCCGAACAATGCGATGGAGCAGAGCAGTTGATGTTAGAATACCCATCTCAGAACTGGGCACAACAAACACGTCATTAGTGGGGAAAATGACATGAAATAGCAACTTTTTGTTTTTTAAGGGAAAAGGCCACTCACGTTTGCATCAGCTGAGGTTCCATAACTCCGATAAAAAACCTTTCGTGGACAGCTTTGGCAAGAGTAATAGCAGCGGTCTAGAATACGGAAAAAGCATCGCTATCTTTTTCTTTTTTAACGGAAAAGAGAAATTAATTTGTAACATCAATAAGTCAGTTTGCATTCTCCATTTGAATTAATGTGGAAAAACAAACTTGCCTATTGAGACGGTCGATGGCATATAAACCTAGATTAGATGCTAGCTACTGGGTCCTTTACATTTTATCTAAATTTCCAGGAACAAGGTGAACAGGACAAAAATATTATCCCAATCCCCATAGAGTATTAACGTCTCCTCAAAGAGGAGAAATGGAGGGAGGCCGATGTCACCTTATGGAGCTTTCTGTTGTAATACTGTAAATACAATTTTCTATTGCAGAACTTGAACTGTGATTTCTTCCAGAGTTGTACTACACACACACACACACACACACACACACACACACACACACACGTTTTCTTGTCTTATTTGGTTGTATTTATTTTACTGACTGTGCTATCCTAAGATAATTAAGACATATTCAGGGATATAAACTGACAAAATTTTACTTAATAGACATTTACATTTTAAAATTATCAATAAGTAACCAAAAAAAAATCAAACCTTTTGTGCTTCCTTTATAAGTTGATCACAATAATCAAACCAGGAAAGAAATGAAATTAAGGCTCGTTTTCCTGGGAATGCTGAAGCATCTTCTTTATGACTATATGAGTCCAAGCTGTAGGACGTAGAAGAAATGCTTAGTCCAAAGTAATCCCAAAGGGGTAATCCAATTCAGCGCACATGGAACAACGAAGGCCCGTGAATGAACTTACGCAGTAAGATACATGTACACAGGCAGTGCTGGATGACCACCAGAAGCAGGTTTTATAAAAGTAAGCCAAGGATCAGAGAAAACCTTTCAAATTACAGTTGTAAATAACTTGCACTCATTAAGTGGGAAGAGAGAGACTAACACAGAATGCAACTGCAGAGGAAAAACCACACAGACAGCTCCTGATGCTCCCGTTGTAAATCTGACCAAGTGGCAGGAAGGAAGTGTGGGAGGTTCTCAGCTGCTGGGGTGGAAGAAAGGGTCAAGGAGGGTGTGCAAAAGAAACAAGTGGCCTGCTTCTCTTCCTCCTTAAAACACCGGACAGTGGTAAAGTTAACCTGTGGCTCTGCCCTACTGATGTTGGCAGAATAGAGGGTGGAAAAAGACTAGTAAAAACCAAGGAAGAGTTAAAAATGCAGAGAAAAATTATAACAGGTTATTATACTAAAACATTAGGCAGCTTATAGATGACAGGATTTGGGGTACTTTTCCTCATGCTGCTTATAAACTTATAAATGTTCTGCGATAATCACATTTTCCTATGAGAATCAGGGGACCCCCAAAAGATGGGTAGGAGGGGAGAGTCCATACACGCGGGCCACAAAACTGGGACTGCCAAGAGGCATATTTACAAAAGGATGTTCCCTCTCTCAGGAATCAAAAAAAAAAAAAAAAAAAAAATCAAAGTTATTGGTTTTAATGTAATTAAGGTCTTAATTATTCATTATAATGGAAAAATAGCTTAACTATGTAACAGCTGGATTGTTCCCATACCAGTTCACTCCTGACTGGCAACACATTTAAAACAAGCCTCAGAAAATAATCCCATTTAATGATCACAAGTAATGTCACATTTTCCAAAACTAAAGATTTATATCCCTCAAAACAGCAGCGAATTTACAGGTATAGGTGTTAAGAAGTCGCTTCTACGGGAAAACACAAGTAATGGTTCTTACCCCCAGTTAATCGCTTCCACTGTTTCGATATCTAACGGGTCCACGGACTGAGGTAGGGCCTTGTACAGGGAGGCGAGTCTGTCTGTCAGCAGTTCGCACAGGCACGTGCTCTGCGTGAGGCACCTGGCAGCCGCAGGCTCCGGCAAACTGACTAACAGCATCAAGCCCTCGCAGGCTTTCACAGCTATCCGGCCATCCTGAGGGAAAACACACAGACCCCTTCAATTCTTGAATTCGATGTATGTCAAGTTGTTTGGGAAAAATTCAACTGAAAAAGATGTACTGTTTTACACTAAAAGAAGAATAGACTTTTTTTTTTTTTCTATTTCAAATGCACGTAACTGTGATCAGGTAAGTGGGGAAGAGTAAGGAAGACTCACGGGACTTCTAGTGAGATTTAACAAGGAATTCACTAAGTTGTAATCCTGGTTTGGACGAACAACCGTGGCCTCAGGCAGTGGGCTGACGGCTAGGCTATCCAAGCTGGTGGACAGTTCATCCATCTGCTGAGGAGGCTCATCTTCTGTCTCTGTGTGCTCCAGCCCCACAGCACCAGACAGTTCCTCTGGCTGACAGAACTGGCCTGTGTCTGTTGACACGGAATCCTGACCTTTCAGCGAGTCTTCTGAAATTACATCTGGTGTGCCTTTGGAAGCCAATGACTTCAACTTATTCTGAAAAAGAACACATGTTCTGTAAGATTCGTATCAAAAGACTTATAAAACAGAAATCATATTTTTATCGGTTTTTCTATAACTCACGTTCAATGTCTAGCCAATGTGGCAATAGATAAAAAGTGTTATGACAAATGAAAACACTCAGACGTCAACAAGCTGTGTTTTAGATATTTTAAAATTGCCCAGGCATTTATAACACTCTTTACACTAAGTACAAAACGGTTTACCATGACCAAAAGCAGTGAACAATATTAGTGATAACTATATGACTACTGCTAAAAACAACTGATGTTAGTGGGGGAAAAAAGATTCAGGAGGTTTCAATTGGAATTAATCGTCTTCTCATCACTGGGCTACTTAAAATACAGAGCCTCGATGTTGATTCTTCTAAGATCAGTTTTCTAAGATGATTTTTCTGTTTCCCCTGTACCTCTGCTTTATAAAAAGAACTCAATACTCTCAGGACCTTTTTATTAGTGTTCTTTTTTTTTTTTTTTATTAGTGTTCTTGATGAGAAAAGATTCACTTGAAATGTCGGTCCCACCTCCCCAATACACACACACACAAACACAAAGAGAATCTTAACCGAAGCAGGGCGCCTGGGTGGCTCAGTTGGTTAAGTGTCTGCCTTCAGCTCAGATCATGATTCCAGGGTCCTGGGATCAAGTCCCACGTCAGGCTCCCCGCTCAGTGGGGAATCTGCTTCTCCCTCTCCCTCCCCCCGGCTCGTGTGTGCTCTCTCTCTCAAATAAATAAAGTCTTAAAAAAAAAAAAAAGGAATTGTAACCAAAGCAAATCATTAGTTTCAGGGGAAGTGTTTTGCTTTCCATTTGAACCTAAGAGCAAAATTCAAATCACACACACAGGTTAGAAGTCATCATGAACCAGCTTCTCCTCAGGGGCCTCTCACCGTGTTTCACCCATCACAGAGGTGCATTCAGTACTGAATGAATTCAGAGTTCTATTTCCAAAGTTATATTACAGTTATTATAAATCACTTTTATTACAGTTAAAAATATAGTTTGGACCAATCTTCTTGAGAAATTGAGCCCACAGCACATGTTAAAAGAAAACAACTGCTCCAAACAACTTCCCAATTTCCTATAAAATCAGTTGCATATCACAGTCCTTATGAACGTGAGTATTGTTGGAAATGGTACCTCAGATAAGAACGGCAAAGGAAGAATAATCTTGGACTAGCACTCACTTCTCAGACGAGTGTTTCTCAAAGTGTGACTCAAGACCGTTGGCGTCACGGTCATCTGTGGGGCTTGAGAGAAATGCAGATTCCTGGGTCCCACCCAGACCTGAATGAGAATATCTGGAGGTAGAGCCAAGGAATCCACATTTTAACTTATTTACTTATATTACTGAGGTATAGTTGACAATGTTATATTGATTTCAGGTGTACAATGTCGTGATGGAATCCGCATTTTTAGCAAGCTCCCAGGTGATGAGGAACTGTTGCCTTGTCTTACACTTTGGTTCCTACCAAAGCTGTTCCCTTTCTACTTCAGGGGTTTTAATGATAGCCACAGCACATTTATACACATAACCCCCAAATCTCTTGAACCCAGACTTCCCTCCCAAATCACAGATTTGCAAGATCAATGCCTGCCAATTATCTCCATTGGATACCAGGAGGACTCAGAACATCCAGAACTGTAACTACCATCTTCCCCCCAACATAAGCTCCCTCGGGGCTCCCTACTTTCTGTTAGCGACAACCTTCCTGGTTCAGAAACTCAAGCACTCATCATCCTTCCTCTTGCTTCCTGCACAAGACCACACAGCATCTACCTCTGGCCTCTCCGGAATATATTTACTTCGTTCCATCTCACTGCCTCCAACTTACGGTCCTTGCCACTTCTCGTCGGGGTTACTCCCTCAGCTTCCAAGTTGGTTTCCTCTGCTTTTCTTTTTCCTTTCAAAGGAATCCATTGTACAAGATGCTGCCATCAATCTGACTTAAGGTACAGACACCATCATGTAGTAACATCCCTGCTCAAAAACCTTCGGTGGCTCCCCAGTGACTTCAACTATGTTCAAATTCTTCATCCTGCCATTCAAAGCCTTTGATCTTTCCTAGTCCATCTCTCCAGGCCCTTTTCTTATCACATATCCTAATTTTATACTGTTTCATGAACACACCACAGACTTCTATATCTTCATTTCCTTACGTATGTTCACCCATTCTTATCTGAACATCTGTCAGGGCTCAAATCAAAGATAAACTCTTCCATGAAGTCTTTCCCAACAACCTAAGAGCAGATGTAATCCCTTCATCCGAGGAAGACTTAAGGCATATTTACTTTGCACCCTTCTTAGGATACTCACCTTACTCCACCTCAGATTATAGCCTGAATATTAGTCTTACCCTTGTCACCAGACTATGAACTCCTTTAGGGCAAAGACTGTTCCTAACTCATTTACCATAGGCACTTAAACCATAGTAGATGCACAGAGTAGCTGCTTTACATGAAAAGAGAGATTAGATTTCAGGGGATATATGCCTGACAACTGCAAAGAACTTTTATTACTCTCTGTACTTATAAGTAACATAGCTGCATTTCTCTGAAAATTCATTCAGCAAGTGTTAATTAAGCAGTTATTATACATTATACTGGATACTAGACAAGTTGTGGGAACCCACAGATTAATGCAACAGAGTCCTTGTCCTCAAGGAGCTTACTGACCAGCAGGAGAAAATAAAATACATTTAAATAACTCTAATGACAGGAAGACTGTAACAACCACATTAAAAGCTTATGAATAGTCTTGAGAAAACGGAGATGCCTACTACCTCAGGCTGTGGAGAAGTATGCGCTTTAAAACCGGGCCTTCTTTGTAGTGAGGTCTAAATGGAACTGTCTCTGTGGAGACAGGGAAACAGAGGACACCTATCTCTCCATCAGCATATGTACGCCCATAAATTTTCTCCGCTTCTGATCGACGGCTGTGTCCTTCTGAATGAGTTTCAGGGATTTTGAGAAAAAGTCCTTAAAGCTCAAGCTGGGGCAAAAATCCATGCATCAAAAGTAACTAGGGTATCTAAGAAAACTTTAGGTAACTAACGTGAACTTTGAGAGGAAAAATCTCAGATAGCCAGATTGAGATATTTGCTATATTTATATCCCAAAACCTAAAAAACCTGTAATAAACCCTTAAAATCTGAAATCATAAGTGTATTCCAGCCATTTTGAAACAAACCTTCAAAATAGGACACCCACCATGAAAAACTGGCATTCGGCATCTTTATCACTACCTAAAAACTTAAATGCATGCACTTTTGCAGCTTGGCTGCTCACCTATCTTCAGTAAGAGTGCAGAAGAGGATCTTGGGTGACTTAGTCAATAGAGTGAAACGGCAAACAAACCCACCTACTGGAATGGCTAAAATTTTTAAAAACAAGACCCTGACAACACTCACTCTGACAGGATGGGGAACAACAGGAACTCTCATACGTCGTTGACAGGATGCAAAATGATAAGGGGTAAAACAGTTTGGCAGGTTCTTATGAAAATAAATATACAATTGCCACAGGATCCAGCAATTCTACTCTTAGGTATTTACCCAAGTGAAGTGAAAACCTAAATCCACAGAAAAAAACCGCGTGTGAATGTGTATAGTGGCTTTACTCATAATTGCCCAAACTGGAAACAACCCCACGTCCCTCAACGGGTGGATGAATAAACAACTGCGATACATCCACACCAGGGGATATTACTCAACAGTATCAGCAACCAAACTCATCTTTGAATCTCAAATGCATTATGCTAAGGAAAAAAAAAAAAAAGGCAGACGTGAAAGCTGATCACATTTTTGTGACTTTCTGTAAAAGAGGAAACCTAGGACAGAACCACATCAGTGATCGCTGGGGATGGGGTGGAGCGAGAAGGGCTCCAAGGAAGCCGCAGGAGGCTGGCAGACCTGCTGTGTCGCTTGAGGGTGTTGGTGGCTACATGACCGTGGGTTTGTTAAACTCAAGAGAACCATAGACCAAAAAGAGCAAATTGCACTGTACCTCACTTGTACCTAATCTAGGGAAAGAAAGACAAAAAGAAAAAGAAAACAAAAAGATTTTTAAAAAAACCTAGCAAAATTAATTTTTTCGGTTTTTTTCAAGATTTTATTTATTTGAGAGAGAGACAGCGTAAGTGGGCAAAGGAGAAGAGGGAGAGGGAGAAGCAGACTCCCCGCTGAGCAGGGAGCCCGATGAGGGATTCGATCCCAGGACCCTGGGATCATGACCTGAGCTAAAGGCAGACACTTAACCAACTGAGCCACCCAGGCGCCCCCCAAACTAATTTTTCTACTACATTCCTAAATGACTTCACTACAGAAAAAAAGAAGTGAATGACAGAAGAAAGTACACGAAGTATTTTCTAATTTAAAACTGGGAGTAAAACCCAAAATATTGATTGATGGAATACGTAAAGTATGATCCAATGACTACGGCTAAGAAAAGACAGGGCGGAATACTAGAGCAACCGCAACTGCTATACCAGGCTGGAGAGGTCACTCGGGATTGTGCGCATCCTGTCCCAACCCGCACACAGACCCCAGGCCAGATTACCCGTGCTCCACACTAGAGCAGACTTGGCTGATAACATGACAGTTTATAAGCTCCTGACTCGCTCTCCCTCATTTTTCCCTTCCAGCTGCATCCCTGCTAAGCCTCGAGTCTGCATTTGTCCAGGCCCTGTACTGCCCTGTAGATCGGCTCAACTACTTTCTCTGAAAACTGGCTTCCTCAAAAGATTTCAGGTTAAAACAAAACAGTGATCGTCAATGAAAAATAATTCTGGGAAGTGAAACAAGCCATATGATACCCACAAAATGTAATTCCTTCTAATATTATTTACAGAATTCAATTCTCAAAATAATTTTAATATAAGCATGCTTCAAAGGTTGACAAGAAGTACCATACCTCCAGAAAAAAATTAACCAAGTAGGGATTTTGTTTCAGCTTTGCACATACAATACAGAGAAACTGGATTTCTTCATTTTCCGTTGGTGTTGCAAGTACTTCACCACATAGTCGAATTAATTTCTGTTAAAAAAATTTAAAAAAATGTTTCAAACTTGGGTTACTTTTTACAGGTACATAAATAGCCATCTGTTTGCCTTAAGAGTATTTACAATTTTCATATAATGCAAATACCTTGCGTTCTGCAGACAGAACACTATTTACCATCACTTCTAACAAAAGAGATTTACTAGTAAGTTTTTCAAATATATCACCCTAGAAAATTCATAAGCACACAATAAACCCCTTAAGATGTCGCAGAGATAAGTTAAAGGAAAAACTAATGTATAAAACTTTAAGAGAAAAATAGAGCATATAATACAACGTGCTGCATACCAGAAGCTCAAGTATTTGCTAATTTACACGTAATTTTTGGAATAATTTCCTTTATTATTTTTCATCTTAGAACAATCACATTAAATTATTTATACATGAAAAGAAACGGAACCCAATGCTGTTTGGAGAAGGAGAAGAAAATACCTGCACCGGCCTGTGGACGTTAATGTGCGGGAGCAGCGGCTGCTGGATCCTCCCCAGGAGCTTAGTGTAGAACACCAGCACCTGCTGCTTCATCCCTGGGGGACACTGGGCGCAAAGAACAGAAAAGCAAACAAGGGAGAACAGACGATACAAACACGCTTACTCAAAAAGCTTAAAGAATAGGAATGTGAATGTATTTCACCCTCAAAAGTCAATGCAACCAGCCAATTAATGAGTCTTTCAATATACAATTCTCCACCAAATATTAATGACTGGTATTCTAGAAATAAAATTATATCTGGGACTATATAATACAGCCAATGGAACTGCAGGCCGATGTGATGACAGCATGGTAACGACACGCTGTTGAAATCAGAGTTTGGTTTGGGCAACATCAACCTGTTTGTATTCTAAATGCTAGGGCAACCCCGAACTGTTATGGTTAACTCTATGGCTGTTTTGCATTAGTTGCAAAATTATTTACATTATGATTATTATAAACAATGAATATTTAAAGAGGAAGTTTTTATAACATGCCATGCTTTAAATCTTTGCTGAAAACTAGGTAAACCTGATGATTGCTTACGCTGTGGGTTAAGAGAGCACAAACTAACAAGGTTATATGTTCTATCACTAACCTGCTTATACTGTTTGCAATTAAAATAGACACAAAATGAGCATTTCCAAAGCATCCTCATAGACATGCTATCTGGAAATGGTATAAACGATAATCTTATGCACAGTATTTTTTCTAGATAGCAAATACTTTGCATTATTCAGATAGACCCATAACATTTACAATCACCAATATAAACATTAATTTGCCGGGTGCTACAATTATTGACCTTCACTCAAAAATCAATTAATCTCTATTCAACTTAGTGTTGTACCATCCCTCTCTCCACACGATAGGGGAGCAGATATCCTGCCTCAAAAATATAAATTGCATGAACTTAACTTAAAATGAATTGGGAGTACTACAGACTTAGTTAAAAGGAAACTTTCCGTAATACCACTACTCATAACTCTATTTGGTGTTTAAACATGTTGATTTTTTCTCCAGTTTGATTTTCACATATATTATAGAAATTCACAGAACAAAAGCACAGATTTTGAGACTTGAGGGAGGCCCTCCGTGATCACCTGTTCAATTGTTAAAGAGAAAGAAGGTTAACCAAAGGGACATTCAAGGTCATAGTGTCAGTGGCAAAGCCAGGCCTCCCAACCGCACTCCAAAGTTCTTCCCTTTCCCTCGCACCCCCACAGGCTTTGAAACTTGCCTTTTTATGTAGTTTTAAAGTTTCCTGGTACAGAATATTATTTATATCATAAATACCAGTTTTGCAAAGATTTCTCAGGATTCATGAGGCCTAAAAACTTAACGTGGCTCCACTCATTGGTAGAGATAATGTCAGAATAATCAGTGACATTTTCTTTCTGGATTATGAAAAATAAGCCCTATTTTCCTAACCCAGTTTACACTGGGTTCCTTCTCACGTCCTTTGATTCTGAGTACATGCCCTTGAGCATATTTTCATAAATGTTTACACTGTAATTCTCAGCAGCCTGAGGACCAGTTGTCACCTAGAGCATCCTAGGGCTTTGCTGGCTCTCTGGACAGTCACACTGTGCAGGCTGCACATTTTCTGTTTTTCACAGTCCTGACTTGGATCCCACCATGCTTAATACATACCTCTACAATTAAATTTAGTACTTGCAGCTTCTTTACCTCTAAGACATTAATGCATGTATTACATGCCCAAGAACATGTGGATAGGAACTTACATCAGCTTTTCCTAAGGTATATAACGTTTCCAAAATCTTGTGATGAAGCAAATATTCCATACACGGCCCTGTCACTCCGAACTCTCGCTCCCGTTCTTCCTGTAGCAAAATACCTAACATCTGGTCCAGATGAGAGGGAATATTTGTATCTGTCACTGGGGCTTTATCATCTAAATAATAATAAAAAAAATTCATCAAACATTCAAACAATTTAAAACTGCCTATTTGTACCTAAAATGCCTTTGATATTTCTCTATTCCAATTCAAAATGAGAGAAAAGTCTGAACTACACACTTAAGTGGTATATAATTGGTATGTAATTATCTTTGCCAGGATGTAGGTGATTCTTTTTGCCATGTTCTTATTCAAAAATGGAATCAATATTCTGAAATATATTCTATTAACTAAAGTCTATGTATAATTCAAAATAAGAGCCATTTATACAGAAATGGGAACATGATCAAGAAAAATACACATAACATCAAAATTTTGTATACACTTACAATTAAAAACAATTTTTTTTCAAACAGCTAGTTCAGAAGTTCTGAACTTTTAGATCTGAATTTTAAGTCTCTTTATATAGAAACAGGTTGGCCTTAAACATCAAGCTGAATTAGGTAGGATACATAGAAAGGGCAGGTTCTGTTTTTGTTTGCTACTGAATCACGTCGTAACACTGGGAAGTCAGACACTTACAGCCCCTAATTCATCTCCATCTGTGAAAACATGAGGAGCCCAAAGAACAATTTCTGGCATCTCTCATCAACAGACAACTATTCCCAAAGCCAAAACTTCTTCTCACGAGAATTCTTATTAAGCACTATTGATTTTTTAAGATAAAAATCCATTGATACATTTTGAGTTCACAGCTGGGACTTAAAAATCACATGGTTTTATCAACTTACCCTTACTGTACGAGGGCTAAATTGCTCTTAATAGAATGTTTAAATACAAAATATACTTGGAAATGCCAAGTTCTTATTTATGTCTCTACTGTAATTTCCTTAGTACTCCATAGTATGTGCAACACAATCCTAGTATGCTATATATTTGATGGTATGTTGCTTTGCCTGTATGTGTGCACATGTATGCACGTACACACGCACACACACAGTGTAAACCGGAACACTAAGCCCTACAGAGAAAACAATGGAGAGACAGAGGTCACCCTTGTTTCCAAGGATAACACATGTACCAAATTTGATATACAATGTGGCAGGTACTAAAACCATGGGGCCTGGAGTTAGACAACTTGCATTCAAATCTTGGCTCTGTCGCTTGTAGCTGGATGACCTTGGCAAACTATTTAAGCCTCTGTCACCACCACCTGTAAAATGGGGGTAATCAACACTAGGAAGTGTTGTCATATGATTTCAATGAAACCATGTGTGTAAAGCTCAATGCCTTCGCACACAGTAAGAATTCAAGAAATGTTAACTTTTGATGTTTCATTTTGTATTCTTCTAAAACGAGTGGCCAGCCACTAACAGAAGATAATTCGTAAATTTATTTGAAATTTGGGTCTTTTTTTTTCTTATGTTTTTTCCTCTTTTAATTGCAGACTTTATATAAACATTCCAGGAAAGAATGAATGTTCAAGTATGGTTTGATTACAGTTATCAATGGAGAAAAATGACCAGAAAGGCTTTGTAAATTGAGAGACAAATGAATTTTGTAAATGTGACTTGACAGGATTAAAATCCTAGCTCCCTAGAAGGCAAGACATTGTTTTTGCCCTCTACCCCCTTCACTCCTAAGCTGCATGTAGGTCCCTGTGCCTCCATATGCCATTCCTTCTACCTGAAATGCCTTTTTCCTCCTCCTCGATCTTGCACCTAATCATCCTTTAAACCCCACGTTATGGACTCTGCCTTCTATTTCTCCCTTCTTTGTTCTCTCTGTGCCTGACACATATACACACATTCGTCCCACACTTTATTATAATGTACATACTTGTTTCTACTAAACTGCAAAAAAAAAAAAAAAATCATTCAAAGCAAGAACTTAAAGCCTTTCCCTTAAAGTATTTCCTTAAAGCTATGGAGGAGTGAAAAATTCACAAGGGCTAAGGAATAGTCACTTGAAAAGGCAGGTCCTCTCAAAAATCTTTCCTACAGATCTGCTGTCTAAATACCCAAATTAAGGTAGAAATTATATTTTACGGGGAAAGGCATACATATATTTTGTGTCTAATTTTTACTTATTATACAACTATAAAGGGTTTTTTGTTTTAAGGAATTATCACCTACGGCCCCATCAGCTTCCCCAATCAGACTGCCTGAATACTCTATTTCAGGAGGTGCCAGACTTTGGCCTGTGGGGCAAATCTAGCCTTACTACATGTTTCTGTTGTATTGGAACAAAGAAACACTATTCTTTTACGTACTGTTGACGGCGGCTGTTGCACAACAGAACTGAGCAGTTCCAAGAGAGGCCACAGGACCCACAAAGCCTAAAATATTTACTATCTGGCCCTTTACAGAAAGTTTGTCAACCTTTGACCTATGTATTTCACATTCCCCTTACTCTCCATACTTCTTATTCACTGAGAAAGATAGAAGCAACCAGAAAAGAACTCTTGAAGACTTTGTAGACCACATCCACCCTTCTTCTTCTTCTATACTTATATGCTCTGTTTTCCACACCTTATTTTGACGGATGGACTGTCCACGTGCCTATTAAGGCTCAGCCCTCACCTGTGCACTAGACCCTACTCCCCTTGCCCATTTAAGGGTATTGCTCAGAAACGATTGCATCTGACTCTTGTCCACCGTTCCCTCTCTACTAGATCATTCCATCAAAGTACAAACTAAAATATCTTCCATCTTGAAAAAAAAAAAAAAGTAAAACCCTCTCTTGAGGGGCACCTGACTGGCTCAGGCATAAGAGCATATGACTCTTGATCTCGGGGTTGTGAATTCAAGCCCCACAGTGGGTATAGAGATTAAACAGATAAATAGATACTTAAAATTAAACCCTCTCTTGAAACCACATCTCCCCTTGGCTAATGCTCCATTTCTCAGCTCCCCTTCCCACTAACGCGTATGGATGTGTCCCATTGTCTATACAGGTTTTCTGACCCCTCTTCTCTTAAAACATAATCCAATCAGGTCTCCTCTCTCTTCCTTGCCATTAAAACGGCTCTTATCAAGTCCACTAATGAGCTCCTTGCGGCAAAGTCCAAAGATCCTTTCTTAGTCTTCATTAACCTGACATCAGCGTCATTTGACACAATTAATCCCTGTCTCCTCTCCTAGCCTCTAGGACATCATTCTCTCTTGGCTGTCTTCTACCCCACTAGCAAAAGTGATTTCCTTTGCTATTGTTTTCATCATCCCAATGTCTGAGCACTGGGCCCGAGGGCTCCGTTTCTGAACATCTTCTCTCTTCCATCTATCCTTACTCCCTACATCTCATCCAGTCTCATGGCTTTAAATCCCACTTACATGTGATGACTTCAATGTCATATCTCTGGTTTAGAACTCCACCTTAAATTCCAGATTCCTATTTCCAACTGTCTACTCAACATATCCAACTGGACATATAGTTGGCATCTCAAATTTAACATGTCCAGAACACTTACAAACCTGCTCCTCCTGCAGTCACCCTGTGCTGGTAAGTGGCCTTTCTATTTTCCATCTGCCTAAGCCCAAAACTTTGAAGTTTCCTTGACTCAGTCTCTCATACCCAACATCCAATCTGTCAACAAAGCTTTCTGCAAAATACACCTAGAATACAATCTCATCCTACCAGCTCCCTGGTTTAAGCCACCATCGTTGCTCAGACCACTGCAATACTCCCCTAACGGTCCACAGCTTCGCCTCTGTGTCTTTCCAATCTAATTTTTTCTCACAGAAGCTGAAACTGATTACATTACATGCCGCCCAAAGCCCTCTGATGGCTTCCCACCTTGGAGTAAGAGCAAAAGCCCTTATAATAGCTACCAAGGCCCTTTGTGACTGCATCTGGCTCCCATCTGATGTCACCTCCTCACACTTTTCTCCTTGTTCACGTTGCTCTAGCCAAACCGGCTTCCTTGCAGTTCCTGGAGTATGCCAAGCATGCTGTATGCTCCAGCTGCAGGGTTTCTGCACTAGGTCCTCTTCCTGAAACCAACCCCCCAGGCTTGCTTCCTCTTTCCTTCAGATTCCAACCGAGACGTCTGTTCGGGCAATGAGGCTTTCTCTAACCTACAAAAGCCAACGCCCCCCTTCCCCCATGTATACACTTCTATCCCCTTAGCCTGCCTCATTTCCCCCTCAGCCCCTGCCATCTGACACACTATGTGTATTTGTCTATTTTGTGCTCGCTTCTCCGTCATCAATATATAAGCTCTATTAGGACAGGGATTTTGTCTGTTTGATTTACTGTTCTATTGCTCAGTGCCTAGAACAATGCCTACACATAGTAGGTGCTCAGTAGATGCATTTTTAAAGAGAATCTAAAAGAGGAATTAAAAGTAAAATAACTTGTTTATAAATTTAAATATAAAATAACTTTGAAAACTAATTTGAAATATATTTTAGTATTTCATAAATTTTGTTTAATTAACATTAGCTTTGTTTCTTACCCGAAGTCTCTATGTAGTAATGGGTAATTGCCTTCCAGTGATAAACAAAATCTTCTTGTAAAGGAAGAGAAGGTGCAAGCTACACAAACACACACACACACAAAAAGACCACAACAATTAAGAAAATGGCATTAAACGTTTCCCATAAAGTATAACTCTGTATTTGTCTACTAATAATACAAAAGCAGCATAAAAATAAAGGATGAGCTTTAATTTGATTTTATATGTCAGAATATCCAAGAAAAAAAGGAGTCAAAATCAAGAAAGTAAAAATGATTTAAGAAAGAGGAAAAACATATTTATTCAATATTATTATTAAACTACAAGTACTGGGACTTTTTTTTTCCTCCCCGAAACTGGTTAACTACATATGGTTTCAAAAGTAATGGTGTTAAGTGAAAAGATGCAAAATCCTATTTAAATTATCAGTAAAATGAAATTATCAGTAACCAGGGATCTTTGTACCTAGGACTTTGAAATGCAAAACAGTAAAAGGCTGCTATGTAATTAGTTACACGTCACCGTTACAAAAACATATACCAAAGTCAATCATGTAATCTGATTAAAACTGTTCCCTACTTTCAGTGACATACAGATGTAAACCTTTTCTTTTTAAGCCTGGATTAGGCAGTGCATATTTTTAGCAAAATACCTGTGTGAACAAGACACTACCAATTTAAATTCCACAAAGCCAAAAATGTTTCACTTCAAAGTAAATTCAAAATTTACTTCAAAAATTTTAAGACCAAAATTATATGCCTTCGGCCATCTCACAGCCAACCTGCCAAGTACTTCAAATGTGTGTTAAACAGATAAAAGACCTAGATGCACCTTCCACAACACTGTCTTTTCCTTAAACAGAGAGAGAGAGAGAGAGAGAGAGAGAGAGAGAATGCTCTCCCAGTCCTACTATTGCCCATAAATACCGGTCAGAAAGTACACAGTGGATCCAGCTTACTTAAAAACAACCAGGTTTCTATTCTGGCAACCGAAAGCCTGGCACAGTCATCTTTCATTCCCAGATACTTCATCTAAACTGATGACCTCAGGGATCATGTTACTCCTGTCTCCTACGTGTTCCATTTTGATTTTTTGTGTCCTCAAGCAGAGACCTCAAAGTCTGGAATCCTAATAAAACAATCTCAAAACTACTGGACAAATTATAAACACTGGTCATAGACACATTACGACCTTCAATCCTGATGAAATGTCCTTAGGGAAGAAGTGGACCTCAACATTTCGCGGCAATCGCCAATGTTTTAAGGCTCGCTCTCATGCTTGCCTGTGTGCCCTGCTCTGAATCACACTGGGTTAAGAGATCTAAGTATCCGGGCGCCTGGGTGGCTCAGTTGGTTGGGCGACTGCCTTCGGCTCGGGTCGTGATCCTGGAGTCCGGGGATCGAGTCCCACATTGGACTCCCTGCTCAGCGGGGAGTCTGCTTCTCCCTCTGACCCTCTTCCCTCTCGTGCTCTCTATCTCTCATTCTCTCTCTCTCAAATAAATAAATAAATAAAATCTTAAAAAAAAAAAAAAAGAGATCTAAGTATCCACCTCATTTCCAAATAGAGTGCTAGGAAATTTTTAAAAAGGCTTTAAGATCTCTAAAAGTAGTTAAAGCCTTTGGGATTACTATCCTTCGAGAAGAACATGGCAGAGAAATTATTTGGGAGACATTGAGAAAAAAAATTAAAAAGAAAATTAGAAAGTATTACCTTGGGAAGATAGATTAATCTTCCCAAAACTCTCAGATTAAAAAAATGTTTTAATCAGCTACTTGTTTTTAGGATCGTCTTCAAAATATGTCAAAATTCTCTTTTTTTGGACCTGGTTTTTTATACACCATCTTTCTATAGTTAAATGTATTAACAATTGGGATAAACTCAAATGAAGTTTGGCGTTTCAAAAAAAACTACCTAATTTCTTAAGTGTAAATATTGCAATTTGTTAAATTTTTCTGAGGGCATCTCCTTGGTCTATAAGGAATTACAGCATCCTTGCTCCAGATTATTTTACCTGTGGGACTTAACTCCATTTCCAAGTTAAGTCACTAGATCAGAGGTCGTACAGGATTTGTGTTAGGACCTTTGCTCTTCTAGTCCAACTCAAAGCAGGATGGTGTTGCTTACCTGTGAATACCTCTCTTCCAGGAGTTTGATTTAAGTAAGAAATCTATTTAAGTAGACAGGGAGACAGTTCCAAATTGCTAACAACTTAGTAACAATCTTTGTTCAAACATGAGTAAGTTTCCTTATTTATATAAAACTTCCTACTAAAATTGTCTTTCATTACTAACTCTAACATGCAAATTACCTGTTTTATCATTGCATAAAATAAACACTCATGCGATGGGTAAAAATAAAAAAAGGAAGAGGTGCGTCAATCAGCATGAGGGGATTCTCACTTGAGTTCACTTTTTGCAAAACAGAGATTAAATTTTTGAAAATTCATGCAATCACACACTCAACCAAAACTGGACCTGAGCGCCTACCTTGGGCATGGCTTTCTCTGAGAAGCCTTGCCAGACGCCCTGCCGAGGATCCAGTCCTTTCCACAAACTGTGGCACCCTCTCCCAGCCTGCTCACTCTCTTAGCACTTACCCCACATTTGTCATTGCTGATTTCCTCCACTCAATCGCAAACTCAACAAGGGGCTGGGATCATGTCGTCTCTGTCATCACTGACTTCCCGGTTGGTTTTCAACTCAGTGATGGCACAGAGTAAGCATTCGGTGACAGTCACCGAGTGATTAATCCAATGGCACAGCAGTTGCTGTCATTTAATGAGTACTTACGTGCCAGGCACAGTGCTGCAAAGTTTACAATTCCTATATGGTCTTAAATGATCTTAAAATAAACTCCGATTTTCCCCAAACTCCTATTAAGAGCCAAAGACAGTTAATTGCCTCACCCAAGGGGAAAAACTGCTTGTAACTAAAAACCCAGACTGTCTTTCTCCAGAAGGCCTACCACACAGAAGGACCTAGAGCAGTAACTCAGAGGAGAGCCAGACATCTGCCACATAAGCCCCATCTGCTCACTCTCTCACGTGTCTCATGAACAGTCCACACCCTGATCTTCGAAGGTGCTTCTTCCTTCCAACTTCCCTAAGGCCCCCCTATCTCCCTACCCTCTTCCAAGTCCTGCTCAAGCCTCCCTTCCTCCAGGGGGCCTTCTCCAAGCCCTTCAATCCTAACTGCTTGCCCCCACAGAACTCACTGGCTGAACAATCATCCAAAAATTAATAACAATGGTTCACATTAATGAAGCACTGACTATGTACCAGGCACTGCACTAGGCACTTCATATGTATTATCTCATTTTAATTTTCACAATAATCCTAAGAGATTGGTATAATTATTTCCATTTTACAATGAGGAAACTGAAATGTACAAAGATTAAGTAACTTTTCCTGTGTAGAAGGGAGGGACGGCTGCAGGACTGAAACCTTATTCTGGATGGCTCTGGGGCTAGGGCTCACTCTTGTGCACTGTTTAACTTTTAGCTTGTGTATTTGTTTTGTCTCCCAAATTAGACTGTAAGCATTGTGAGCAAGGACGCAGGTATACCGTTTCCTCCGTGCTGTGCCACACTTTCGTGGTAGGCTCATAAAACATTAGCTGAATGACTAAAGGATGAAAAGTTTGAGATCCCATCAGAAAAGAATACACTTAAGAAGACACTACATATGTTTGATTTGAGGTTTTAATGCCCAGGGCAGAAGAGCTTTTAAAAAATTGCCGGTCCCAACAATCATCAACTCTTAACTGTAATTTGAAAAGAAAACATTCAAATTCTGAAGGACGACTTCCACTGAATTAACCCGTTAAAGTAGATAAAACTTTCTTCCCTTATCCTCTTGGAATAAATCTGCCCTCAAAGGGTGAAACTGGCTGAAATTTAGAAAGAACCAACTCCTGGCAGATTACCTAGGACAGACTAGGCCCTCAACAAATATTTAATTGTACTAAATGGAAAGTGTTTTACTTGTACTTTAGAGAAACTGTGCTAACATGATCTAGTCCAACCTAGGAACTAACTACAACATTTCACTCTTATGACATGTGGCAACAGGCTAACAAAATGGATTCAATGCAAACTTACTGGCCAATCATTTTTTTATTCTGAGGGAAGATTCACTTCTGAAAAGGGAAGCAAGAGTTACGTTACAGTTTTTGTTTTTGATCAAGGTATGAATTTCTCTTCTAAACTCAAAATGTAATCGGTCAGCTCAATAACACATTTTCAAGTACTAATCTTGAAAATCTTATATATTTTTTCCCTGTACTAGTTAACAAGAAGTAAGAAGAAACTATTAATTAAACAATAAGGAAAACTCTACATGTAAACCTCATTTAAATGAATATGTTTATCTGGTCAACCCTAAAAAAAACTTTTGAAGATTTGAAGGCTGAACCACAATTGTACAAAGAAACCTATAAAGTAATAATATCAAAGTGGCTGAAAACAGTGACACCTCAGGTGATGTCAGCACCTGCACATAGGATAAAGTCCCACCTCTGAAAAATCCAGATAATTATGTTAATTGCAATACTGTATCAGAAAATGCTAATTGGGCATACAAATTAAAAGGAGTAGAGAGAAAAGCTAATGAAATGAACTGATGAATGATAAAAGCAGTTTACAGAAGAAAATGCAAGGCAAATAAATAGAACTGAAAAAATGGAAACCAGTCTTGGGCTAGGCAAAAACATTCTTCAAATACCACAAGAATGGCTTATTTATCATTATATATGAGTTCATTCCCAAGAGAGAATGTAAAAAGGAAAAAGTTTGCCAATTTTTTTCTGATTTAACCTATCAAGGTAAACTGGAAGGTATCACAGCTGAAAACATTAACTCTAATCAAATAAAAACATTAGTTTTCTAAATGCTATGGATCAGTTACTAGGACCAAGTGAACATAATCCACTCTTAATTTTTTCTCACCTCAGCAAAGCAGCTGGATATGACAGAGCCAGAGTCAGACAATTTACATGGGTAATTTGGTAGATGCTAGCATATACAGTTATAAAAAGATAATGAGGACAGAAAACACAAGCCTCAGGATAAAAATGAGTCTTTACTGGGAGAGTATGAAAGCTATCTTTCTAAGTACTTACTTCGGTAAATATCAACCTGATAGGTAAAGGATGTAAATAATGTAATATATTTTTTATTCCCAATTATCTCAGTATTAACCTGTACTCAATGTTAAAATTAAGTGATTTTAAGTTAAAGAATAATATAAAATATAAATGCCGCTGTTTTTATAAATTTCGGTTAAATTCTTTTAAAAAAGTTGCTGTAGATTGTGTATAAAAAGGGGAAAATAAAAATTGTCCTAAAGTCTAAAACTGTCATCTCCATGTGTAGTACTGCTCTTCATTCATGAAAACCCTCTCTTTGATTTGATACACGTTTTCCCAAGAACTTGTGGTAGAGCTTAAATGATTTTTAAGCATTTCCCACATATCACTTAAAATAACAATTGTACTGAAGTTTTGTTTTCAAACTTAATTTTAAAAATCCATTTTATTTTTATCTGACCATAAAAATGGTTCTATTGCAGCTGGCTTTTTTTTTAAGTTGTGTGGATTTCAAGGTGCTATATCACACAGTCTAAACATTGAAAGAAAATGACATTTTTTAAATTAGCAAAGTACTGGTTTCTTGCACAAGATGCATTTTCCAATTTGGGCAACTGTCCCTGAGTAAAGAGAAACAACCAAAGTAAAGCAAACTAGATCTCTTATTATGAAAACAGAGCAAGGCATTTTCTTTTACTTCTCTTCTGTTAGTCTGTTTGGGTATTTGAATGTCTCTCTGTGCTGGTCTCTAAAATCCTCAAAGGAGAGAGTCCAGGAAGAGAAGACAAGAAAGGAAACAGATGGTCTCGCTGCTCTGCCGAGGGCTTGGAACAGTGTAGACCATACTCGACCAGACCCCTCCAAACTCCCATTTCACAACAATCAATACAGTGCAGCTGAGTTCGGGCCGTGAGGCCTGCGAAGGCAAAGCCAGCAGGATTACGAAACGGGGTCTAGCGGGCTGCCTCCTCCCAGAGTCGCCCCCACCCCCAACAGGGGCACACCTTCCTGCCCACCCCACCTTCCAAAGTCAGCACAACACCAAGCCAAACGCAAGCCCCAGCCACGTCTGGCCGTTTCTTTTGTCCTGCTCCACGCTGACCACCTTTTATCCGGAGCAGCTTAACGGTCCGGGAGTCCGGGGGTGCGCCCTGCGGCCCCGCCAGGTACTCCCGACCCCCCGTCCCCATCCAGGAGTCAGGCGAACCCCGCGCCGGCCCGGAGCTCCGGTCCTGCCGGGGCACCCCCGCCCACCCTCCCGCGGACGCACAGGGACCCGCGCCGGCCCGGGGCAGGACGGCGAGGAGGGGGCCTGCTCCGAGCCAGGCCCGAGGCCCCGGCGCCCCGACGGCCCCGCCGCGCCCCGAAGCGCCCGCCCCGGCCTCGCCCCTCCGCGGGAACCGGGCCACCGAGGCCCGGGCCGAAGCCGCAGGAAGCGTAGGCCGCCGCCATCCCCGGTCTGTCGTGAGCCCGCTGCCCGCGGCCTTACCGCCTCCACGGCGTGCTGCAGGATGGAGGTGAACTTGGAGAACATCTTGTCACGGGACTGCAGCAGCCTCTCCCGGGACGACCTGGAGAGCTCCTCGATCCGCCGCCGCCGCCCCTGCTGCGGCTGCCGGGGCGGCTCCAGAGTGAAGGCCGGTGCGGGGCGGGGAGGACGAGCAGAGGGCCGAGGTGGGCTCGGGCCCGGCCGCTTCGGGGGTGCGCGGGCGGCGCGGCGGCTCCGGCGGGCGCTGGGATGCGGCGGGCGGCGAGAAGGGCGTTCGGCTCGGACTCGGGGCCCCGCGACGCTCCGGCAGCGGCTGCGGCTCCGGCTCGGACACGGTGGCAGCCCGGCTCGGGTTCCTTCCGCCCGCTCTGCCCGCCGCGGCCTGCAGGGGGCGCCGCCGCGGCCCGGGGAGGCCCCGACCGGGCCTACCCAGCGGCGGGGCAGCTGGACGCCGCGGGGGCGGGAGAAGCGGCGCGGAGAGGCCGCAGCCGGCGGGGGGCGGGAACCGGACGGGTGCGGCCACCGCCCTCTCCCTGCTCCCGCGCGCCTGGCGCACTGTCGTCCTCACGTTTGAAAAATTCATCCAGCCTCTCAGTTTTGTTTCTGCGGGGGCAGTAACAGGCCGATTTTGTAGGGAAACGTAGCCATATCTGTACATAATATTCCGAGATTCGTCTTTTAAGGCCAGATTTGGGAGACTCGTAAGAAACAGTACAGTATTCCTAAGGCAAAATTGGTCCGTGCATTTAAATGCTAAGAATTAGACCCAATCAGTTAATGTTGGTGAAATGGCTTTGCTAACTGGAAAATATATTATTAATTGTTAATTATTCACCATTAAAACAGGAAGCCCCAAATGGACAAATGGTAAGATGGTTCAGTCAAAAGTTTGTAACTTGTTTGATAGGTGCACGGCATTCAGTATTGTATTTTCTATTCTGTTTATCAGATGATACTGGAAAACAGTGAGGGAAAGAATCTGGAGGGATTCTGCTAAATGCATAGGACAGGTGAGTGGGGCTACATTGTAAGTCCTTGGGTGGAGGCTCCTTAAAAACACTATGCAGGGCGCCTGGGTGGCTCAGATGGTTGAGCGTCTGCCTTCGGCTCAGGTAATGATCCCAGGGTCCTGGGATCGAGTCCCACAACGGGCTCCCTGCTCCTTGGGACACTGCTTCTCCCTCTGCTTCTCTCTCTCTCTCTCTCTCTGTCTCTCATGAATAAATAAATAAAATCTTTAAAAAAAACACACACACTATGCAACAGTATATTCACCAAGCTTTGAAAAAGCACAGTGGGCGGTAGTAAATTTCAGGTTGGGTTGATACAAGTTATGAAAAATGTTCATATCCTGGAGAACTTTGTGTTTGTTTTTGCTAGTATTGGTATTTTATCAAAAGGACTGTTAAGTTCTTGATAAGGTGAGCATGGAGTAAGTTTTGCATAACTGGTGATGAAAATACGGATTTGTAATTGAGTTTGTTGAACAGAAAAAAAGCAGAAAAGTAGCAGCGATGTGGAGTGGTGTTAAGAGCTAGGCTCTGGAGGTGGGTAGTCTTGAATTTAAATCCCTCTGCCACTCACCGTGGCAAATTTTTTAATCTCTGTGCTTTAGTTTTTTTCATCTGTGAAATTGGGGATAATAGCACCTACCAGTGAGAGGTTGTGTGGAAATGTATTAACATATGTAAAATACTTTAACCATGTCCAGTCCATAGTAAGCAGTACATTGGCATTTGTTATTACCATTAGTAGTAGTAGTGATAGTAGTATTTAACAAAATGATAGAGCCAGAAGTCAAGGTTTAAGGAGGACACTTTTTTTTAAAGATTGTATTTATTTATTTATTAGAGAGAGAGCAGGAGCAGGGGTAAAAGGAGAGGGAGAAGCAGACTCCCTGCTGAGCAGAGAGCCCCGTGCAGGGCTCCATCCCAGGACCCTGGGTTCAGGACCTGAGCTGAAGGCAGATGCTCAACCGACTGAGCCACCCAGGAGCCCCAAGGAGGACACTTTAACTATAGATCTCCCCGGACCTTCAGTGGGGGTATGTCCCCATAACTCCACCATAAGTTGAAAATATCTTAAGTCAAAATGCATTTAATACACTTAACCTACAGAACATCATAGTTTAGTCTACCTGTCTACCTAAATGTGCTCAGGACAAATACTTACATTAACGTACAGATGGTCAGAATCATCTAACACAAAGCCTGTTATATAGTGGTGCTGAATACCTTATGTACTTTATTGAAAACTACTGAAAGTGACAATGAGTTTAAGTGCATCAGTTGTTTACCCTAGCGGCCCACAGGGAGCCGTGGAAGGTGCTGGCACCCAGCATCGCGCGAGCACCCTTCGGCATATCACTAGCCTGGGAACAGATCCAGTTCCAAGGACGGTGTCTACTCAATGCCTGTCGCTCTCACACCAGCATAAAGTCAAAAAAATCGTAAGTCAGACCGTTGTAAACTGGGAACTGTGTGTAGTTTTGTCTTCTTTTCTCCTCTGTTTCTGTTGCTTATATCCCTGCAATGCAGGTAAATAAACGTGACTTTTAATTTTCTGTGTACTAGTCTCCAGAATGCCGGAGGCACCCTCTGTTGTTTGCTTAAAAATTGAAATGTGCTCCCTACCAAATTCTGGCTAATTGTGTCTGCTTCAACCAAGAGGACATATTTTTTATCATGCACACAGCTTGAGGTGGTTAGTCATATTATTAACCATAATTATTTTCCTGACCTAATAAATACATTTATGTGGTATTTTGTATTTTCATAATGCCTTACAACCACTAATTGTATAAGAGGGTCTGTTTAACACAGGCTTATTGAGAGTTGTTTGCATTTGATGATGCCCGTCTTTGTATACTTATTATGAACATCATAAAAAATGTTTTGCTTGAGATTAATATCAATATTTAGGAAGATGATTCATCTCCCTGATATCTAGGTTCCAAGACATACAAGTTGGGCTAGAATTATGATTGAGCAGATACTCTTTTCATCCTAGAAAGTTTGTAGTGGCACATGGGCAGGGTTGGACCTCCCACAACAAAGTATGATTTGAGAAAGCATAATACAGGCTTCCCTGGCCTCCAAGCCACTTAGATATGAGAAGCTGAAATTCCTCAATTAGCACTTTATTTCTTTATTCCTTTGACTTAAGTCAAATAAGAAATTTAGTCCCCACTAAAAATTAAAATACCCTTGGGAGAGAGAATACATCAAATTCTGTCATTCATTACACTGCAGAGTGAATGAGTTTGCTAAATCCCTTTACTGAATGAAGTTTAATCAGCAAGGTCACAGAAAAATCCATAAAACTGAAACTCAATTTGGATGAGGACCGAGAGTTAGATGATACCTACTTCCAAAGTTTGGCAGACTTCTGGTTAAATAGGTAAGGCTGAATTTAGCAACATTTCCTCCCTAAATGCTACTACAGTTACAGTAAAGGGATTTCTCAGAGTATAAGCCCAAAAGAACAAACAAATTAAGAAAGGAAATGGCAACAAAATTTTGAGAATTGGAAAGTAGTGGTAAAGAGAATAACTGATATGGTGCCTTAGGAAAGCTGAATCCTAAGGCAACAATTAAGAAAACTAAGGTCCAAAGTGATATATTAATACATTTACAGAACCTTCTCAATGACTTTGAAGTCAGTAGCAATGAGTACCTCTGGAGGGGCGCCTGGGTGGCTCAGATGGTTAAGCGTCTGCCTTCGGCTCAGGTTATGATCCCAGGGTCCTGGGATCGAGCCCCACATCAGGCTTCTGGCTCAGCGGGGACCCTGCTTCTCTCTCTCCCTCTGCCTCTCTCCCTGCTCATGCGCGCACTCTCTCTCTCTCTCTATTTCTGTGTCTCAAATGAATAAATAAAATCTTTAAAAAAAAAAAAAAGTACCTCTGGAAATAGAGGTGAAAGTGGGACTGAAAAATAGCAGGGTGGAGTGAAAGCTTGTTTAGAAGTAGATAGATCATCCCCACGGTACAAGACTGGCTGACTTCCCCTTCTCCACCCTGGTTTTAGATTAGAGACTAATTCCAGGAATGATCAGAGGCTTCATATTGTCATGAGGGAAGAAGAGGATAAAGTTGATGTGGGAATCAAAGGCAAAAGAAAAAATTAAATTTCCTTACTGCCTACAGCGCATTGGCAAGTCCTTGAAACCAATAGAGTGACCTTTTTCTGGGAGCTCAACTGCCTCGATGTTGACACTTTGCTAAGGGGCAAAAGGCAACCTTAGCCTAACCTGGAGGATCCTGTAAGTCTTCTTTAAAATACAAAAGTTCCTTTGGAGACTTCCTTTATCTCTACCCCCAAGTTACAGCCATCATCCTCCAAGCATGTGGCCCACTGATATACATCTGAAGGGTCTCATGACTGAGGGTTTTACTAAACAGTAATAAATGACCTTTTCCTAACAATAGGTAGACCTCCAGGATCCTGTGAGTCTCCTTTAGTATATGAAAGTCCTTTTGGAAACCTCCCTTTGTCTTTACTTCCCCCACCTCACAACCCCAGTGTAGCTCTTTTCTGCCCACAGGTCCTGTCCCTGTGCTTTAATAAAACCACCTTTTTGCACTGAAGACATCTCAAGAATTCTTTCTTGGCCATTGGCTCTGAATCCCAACCTTCAAATCACATCAAAGTGAAGGTAGATATTGTGTATATTGAACACATCCCTAACCCTCATCCTCTTCTTGGCCCCCAGAATGAAAGCATCAGGCTGACCACCACCCTCCCTCCCTGCCCCCCAGAAGATAGGTAGGGTCCTCTCTGGAGAATCTGATTAGTCTAAGAGAAAAGACCTAAAAATACTGAAGAGGGAACCCAGACAACCCTACAGTGCAGCCTGTAGTTGACAAGCTTGTACACATGCTTGGAGCATCCACTGAGTTTTTTCATGCACCTCTCTTAGATGGGATCAGAGAGTCTGGGTCATCAACAATTTGAAAAAAGTTAATGATAGAGACCAAAAGACAAGTCAGGACAAAAAAGAAATTTGGAAGGAACAATTAATTGCACTCGATAGGAAGAGGTGGAGAAGAAAAAAACAATATTCTCAGATAAAAGATATAGCATCTTTTAAAACAAGAATGGTATGCTATTTTAAAAAGCATTTAGGGTACAAAAAGGAAATCTTAGAAATCAAGAATATGATAACAGAAATGAAAAACAACATAAAAAAGGTAGAAAATAAATTTGAAATATTTTCTCTGAGACTAGGACAAAAATGATATAGGGATGAAAAATGGGAAAGTTTTACAAAAATTAGAGTGCTGATCCAGGATCCAACGTCTGAATAATTAGAGTGAACAGAGGGAGGAAATCATTGAACTAAAAATTCAATATAATTTTACAGATCTCAAAGACATGAA